GCAAGTTTCTTCATCTCTCATCTGCAAAATGGAAATAGCACTTTTTCTAGGAGCAGTAGACCAAACTGGTGTTCACTTGGGAGCTAGTGATACAACATGAATGTCCAGGAAACTTCATTACTCTGAAGTTTCACCTAAGGCAGGCAGGTCCAAACTGCAGACAGTGAACAGAGCCACACTGCTCTCTCTCTCCCTCTCTGTGCTACCTTCTCTTGCAGATTGGCTCTGCCCGTTTTCGAGCCCCAGAGCTCCTGTTCCGGCCAGACCTGATAGGGGAGGAATGTGAAGGACTCCATGAGGTGCTTGTTTTTGCCATTCAAAAATCAGACATGGACCTGAGGCGAACGCTGTTCTCCAACATCGTGCTGTCTGGAGGCTCCACGCTCTTCAAAGGTTCCTGCCTCTCCTCTTTCAGTGGGCTGTGACATACCTGATTTCTTCCTTGCTTCTCATGTGAAACTGGGAGGATAACCTAGATCACCCAGCTTGTCCTGTGAGATAAGGGCTGTGTGAACTCTGCTCTCTCAGCAGGGGGTTACTAATTTTCTGAGTCCTAGTCATACCCTTCTGGGTATGCAAGACACCTCTGCCCTTGTCTATCACTTCCTGGGCTTTTGGCTTTTTCCTTGTATCACTCTGCCGGTGTCAGGACTGAATAGGTGTGCTCATTTCTGCTGTTCAGGATAGTCGAGACCAGGTACCTAAAAGGCTCTTGCATCTTCTGAGGTTCCTTAGGTCCTCAGTACCTGAAAGAGCCCAACAGTCCTGGTGCTGCATGAAATGTCAGCTACATGTGTGCAAAAAACCTTCTACTCATCCCCTCAGGGCTCAGCTGGCTCCCATTAACTTAAAGATACCCCCTGCCAGAACCCATCAGCCTGTTAGCCACAGGCAGATATCTCCAGATAGGTCCTGCTCTCCCCTGTGCAAATGGGCTGGACACAGGAGTAATGCCCGGGGAAGGAGTGGGGAACTGGCTAAAAATCTTGTTTGCTCATCTCGAGTTGGTGCAGAGGGATAGAGCCTGTTGTGCCAGTGTTTGAGGTCTGCCTGAGGGAGACAGAATCCTGTTATTTCACTGGCTGTTTTCTGGGTATCTCTGAGATCTGGATTGGGATATTTGAATAGGAGTGCATAGGAAACGTCCACATTGTTAGTAGATAGAACCTGGGATTTTGCTGAGGGGCTCAGACTACATGTTTTCTGTCTTGTGTAGGCTTTGGTGACAGGCTGCTGAGTGAAGTGAAGAAACTAGCTCCGAAGGATGTCAAGATAAGGGTAGGAGCAATCTCTTTTGTGTTTATCTCTTACTGTGTGTGTTGTTTTGTAGCCTTCAGCGAACCATGCTGAGAGTGCAACTGCCATTTGCTTCAAAGCAGAAACAGAGTCCTGAGACAGTCCAACAATATTTGCTGTTGTGATGAAAGCCTGTTTGGTGTCATCACTGAGAAGGTGGCTCTTCTTGACAACGTGACTTGTGTCCAGGATCCTAGACCACAGTGGCTGTTGGAAGCCAGGGAGGGCCGCTGGGTGTCTTTCTGGTGGGAGAGATCATACCTGTGTTTGTCAGCTGTTACCTGCAGTGAAATGGGGGCAGTGTGCCAGGGGGAGCAGACTGGAGCTTGGGAAGGCACTGACTGATTCTCTCTTTCTCCCAGATATCAGCTCCTCAAGAGAGATTGTATTCCACATGGATTGGGTACGTACTGCACAGTGACACGTCTTGCTGTGGGGTGAGGGCTGGGGGGGCGCAGCCTGTCAGCGCTCACGCTGCTGTTCCTTCTGGTGCTGTGTGTCAGGAGGGTTCCGTCATCCAGCTGCACGATGCTCAGTGTGTTAGTGGAGCAGCAGTCAGCAGGTCGTGTGGGAGGGGGCAGCTGGCGCTGCGCTCTGTAGTGCTGGCACCTTTGTGGCTAAAAGGAGGGGAAGTGACTGTCCAGAAAGTGTCTGTGTAGATAACTGGGAGCCTCAGCACCTTTCTGATGTGGGGAAGTGTTAGGCAATAGAAACAGCGTGTCTCTGCGGAGATATGATGAGAGTGCCCCCAGCACTTTCCTTTAACCCAGGGACATGCCTGTCTCTCCCTAGTGGCTCTATCCTGGCCTCACTGGACACCTTTAAGAAAATGTGGGTTTCGAAAAAGGAATATGAAGAAGATGGAGCTCGTGCCATCCACCGAAAAACCTTCTAGCCCTGGGACCTGTCCTCAGTCTCCTCCGAAGACTCACTTCAGTTCTAAACTCGCTTTTCTGAGTCCGAGTGTCTGAGAGCTGCCTGTGTGTGTGTGTGTGTGCGCCAGCATGCCCCGATGTCACTGCGCAAAGATGACAGCAGCAGGAGGGTTGTATTAGTACTACTAACTTCTTATTTTTTTATTTTATTTTTGTTGGGTTTTTTAAATGGAAAGGGGAAAACACCAGTCTGAATTTCTCCGGAATGGCTCATTCCTTTTTCATTTCAGTCCCTTAATTTCTGTATCGCAATCACATTTGTCACTGTAAAACAAACAAGCAAGCAACAACAAAGGGAACAGCTTATAGAAACTGCCTAGCAAGCCAGAAGGGAGCCAACCACTGCAGAAGCTCATGCAGGCTTTTATCAGCCTGGCTGCAATGCCTGGATTGTCTGGAAACACGTAGCTGAGGCCCCAGAGCTACTTTCTTCTTCAGCAGTGTCTTCACCATCAGTAGGTTTTTGAAGTTATTTTTAATATCTTTTTTATTAAGAGCAAGCACATTCTCAAGCCCATTTGCCCCCACTGTTTTTGGTGTGTGCGTGGGTGTATGTGTGTGTAACTTCGCCTGATGTGTGGGTCTGCACCACAGCTGGAGAAGTTGGTGATAGGACTTAGTTTGTATTGCATGGAGTAGAACAAAGCAAATCTAAGCAGCTATCGTTGTACTAGGCGGTTATTCTCTCGTACCTTGTTTTAAATACCTTTTCTCCCCTGGAAGCAAGTGCCCCAGAACGGGGGTGAAGGCACTTGTGTGTTCCCCCTCAACCTGCCAAGATTTACAGTGCTGGGTTCTCATGTTCTTTCTCTGTAAGAGTCAAGGCTGTTTCCCTCCTTCCTGCCATGTCAGGGCAAAGGGAGCATGTATTTGCAGCCAGGCATAACTCCTGTGTACTTCATCCATTCTGGGTCAAAATAATAATTGGAAAGGTGCATTGTAATGTAAGAAATGTTTTATTTATTGAAATGTCTGAGGGTATCTCGAATACTGACCACAGCACCTGGGAATAAGGCTTTGGGTCTTCTTTGAATGCCTCTTGCCCAGCTGTCCATGGTTCCACGTTAACACTGTTTACAGCACGCGTGCTTGGAATAGCCAGCCAGCCCTGCGCCACCCCCCGGTAACTGCGCGGGGGGTCTCCCTGTTCTCTAGGAGTACATGAAGTGAGAGGACAATAAACTGTACCAGGACGTTGGTGTGAGCAGCAGGTTTGTGAGCAGGAAGCTGTCACCAGGGCTGTGTACTGCGTATGCCTTTCTGCTTACCTGGGGGCTGCTTTGCTTCTGCTTTTACACCCACGGGCAGGCCTACAGACCCCTTGTGCTGGCGAGTGCCACTGTTCCCCCTTTAGGATTTTCTTATGCGTTATTTGGTGCTCTTTAGTTTTTTTCCATTGATAATTTTCTGCAGTACCTGGCAGTAGCAGTGGAGCTGGAGTTGCTTGGTGGCAGTTCCTCCTTGTTTCCCTCCTTCCTGTTCATTGCCACACAGCACCTCGGGGTCGCTCTCGAGCGCAGAGATGGGGTCAGAGCCGGAGGGCTGCTGCAAAGGCATGGTGAAAGCTGGTGTGTTGCCCCAGCTGAGATGAATGTGAGCAGCAGTGTGTGGCCCCTGCAGGAGCCACGTTCTCAGGGCTCCCTGCTGGGCTCAGAGAGGCTGGAGGCAGGTGGGGTGGTCTCTTCCCACCCAAGGCCAGGCTGCTTGTTCACCTACCCCCTCTCAGAGCAGAGTGTTTTTTAAGCAAGAGCCTGTCAGGTAGAAAAGAGCTGTCACTGCTCAGCCTTCTGATGAAAAATTGTGTTCTTGCTGGTTTGCTGCAGCATGTGGAGGGGAAGCAGCAAACCCCTCTTGGTTCAGTTACCACCTGTCCCCCAGGCAGTGCCAGTGCTCTCCTCCTCCCCTCCCAGCCCCCCTGCTGCCCCTGCAGAAGCAGCAGTGCTCCATTTTGTAACCTGCAGTGACCGGACAGAAAGGTGCCGTCTCTGATCTTTGATCTGCCTGACTGTTCCCTTGCACACTGTCCAAACCGTGTTACCTGGTGGTGCCCAGCATACTTAAATAAAGTCATTCATATACAACCCTCAAGCTTCCTGGCCTCTTCCCACATTTACATTTTTAGGGAGGTAACTTGTGTTCTCATCCCTGTGCAGAACAGCTGCTGGCCAGTCTGCAAGGAGGCATCATCTCTGGTCCAGTATTGCATTCCTGGCCTGGCTTTGGAGCCGAGGGAGGAGATTCCTGGGCTGCAGCTACAGTCTGCACTGGTGGTGTCCAAAAGCTGCTCTTCTCAGCAACCATTATCTATTCTATTTCTCGCTGCTGACAGGTCAAGGGGGGGAGCCCTGGCTGAGCAAGGGTGATGGCAGTGATGCCACTGCTGTGGTGAGAAGAGCTGGTGCCAGCTCAGGTGCTTGCAGAGAACTAACCTGGCAAGATTTGCTCCCAGGGCAGGCCTGGGGACAGGGGGAGATGGGACAGCACCCAGGCCTGCAACTGTCCACAGCCTTTGTGCTGCCTCCAGAAGCAACTGCTGAGGGAACAGGACAGTCTGGTCCCTGGGGCCCTCCAGAGCAGCAGGAATAAGTCACTGGCCTCTCCCCAGAAGACAGGTGATACTCTGATCCTCTCTGCCCGCTGTAGAAGTGGCCAAGCCTCAGCACCCAGTTCTGCTAGAGAGAAGCCATCCCCTTTTCTCCCATACTACAACTGTGCCCCCTAACCCAGCCAGGAACTGTCCGCCTGCCAGAAAAAGAAATCACTAAGCAATACAGAAAAGATCATCTTTAATTTATGAAATGAAGACTTGTTCTCAAACTTTGTTAGAAGTCGTGCAAATAACTTATGATTGAACCATCGAGAACTAGAGAAGGCTTGCGGCAGGAACATCTTGCTCCAAGACAGAAGGCAGCTGTGTCCTGAGGCAGGATGGCAGGTTTGTGGGCTGAGACCCCAGAGGGAACCTGGCACTAAACAAAGAACAGCAGCCGGAGCACTCAATGGCTCTCAGTCGCTGCCTGCACATCATCTCCTACTGCAGGCACATCCTGGGCAGAGCTTCTGCCTGCCCCCAGAGCAGGGAGGGAGGAGACACCATCTGCTCCCAGACAGAACCAGGGAGCCCAAACTGCCTGCTCTCCTTGGGTCCACGGCTCGGCAGCCAGAGGAGATGATCAAACTCTGGGGCACCATTTCAAACAAGGGGGGAGGAACTGAGGTGTCCACCTCTCCCCACAGAGGCAAAATCTCAACTGACTGCCCAGCACTGTCAGGCTCCAAAGAGGAATCGAAGGCACAAAAGCAAGACCTGGTGTCACCTCCAGGTTGTGTTCTCCCTCTGCAGGAGGGGAAGGCGCTGGCCTGCTTCACTTCCAGCAGCTGGGTTAGGGGTTGGATCCCAGCACAGCTGTGGGACAGCGCTGGCTGGAAGGGGCTGTGGAGGGATAAACACAGGCACTGAGACACCAGATGAGATGTTCCAGTTCAAGGCTCTGAGGCCAGTTCAAGCCCAGCGCCTTTCCCAGACCCACAACAACTCCCTCGGCAAGGCCACGAAGGCAGGAGCCTCAGCATAAAACAAGCACAGCAGCCCCTGGCTGTGCTGGATATTGTCCTGGGAACAAGAAATGCTTAAGAGTGAATTTGGTCCAAGAACCGCAGCACTGTATGTGGGAGAGGTTGTACCAGCTGCTGGGAAAGGCCTTCAGGGTCCTCCCATCCCTGCTGCTGCTGTCTTGCAATCACCCCCTCTGTCACTTGGTCCCTCAGGAGCCTCCCACTCCACTCCCCAAAGCTGCAGGGCTGTAGCAAGGAAGGATACCCTGCGCAGTCCCCTCCTGCTCAGCCAGAGGCTGCGGTTCCCCAGGGCAGAGCAATGCACCAGGGCTGGGGCTGTCTCCAGCACACATGGCAACCCAGCACCTCCCTGCTGGGACGAGCAGCCCTCTGCTCCCTTGGGACAGGCTAGCATAAAATATTCTTGCTCCTGTGGCCAAGCGATCTCTCCCGGGCCCCTCATACACTGAACTTCTCTGCCTTCCCCAGCGACCACCTCCTGGAATGAGTAAACATTGGCATTACAGCATTTCACAGTTGGACTGTAAACATCAGGGGCTTCTCAGCCCGCCATCCCTGCGCTTAACCTGCCATCCTGCACCAGTCCGGAACCAGCAACGCCCCAGGGGCTCAGGCACCCTTAAATTGTTTTGACCTCTGGTGCTCGGCCTTGCGTCAGGCTTTGGCGCTGAGCCTTCACCATCTGCAGGCGCTTCCCACGCAAGCTGAACTGCGACCAGCTGAGGAGCTGCAGCAGGGCGCATGTGATGGGTACGAAGACGAGGAGGTAAAAGCAGCCCTGGCGAAGAGTTGGCTCCAAGACTGCAGCAGACTCCAGCTTTGGCTGGGCACTCACCACGTTGCTCAAGGGGTTGCGCTGGAAGATGTCGTAGCCTGGTGTCAGAGAAGAGTTTATGAGACTGGGGACAGTGGGGATGGACCCTTGTCCACCTTCTCTGAGCGACTGGCCTTGGAGAGGCAGAAACCAGAAACAGCTTAGCAACTGGAAAAGCTTTCCACACCCACCCAGGGCACAGGATGTGGTGGAGGACACTGAACACACCGGTTTGCCCTCTCCTGCCCTGACGCCCTCCCCAGGAGCTCCCTTACCTGTGTACGCGCCGAGCAGCCAGGTGCCGATCAGAGGGGCGAAGGTCTGGCCTGGCTTGGTGACCAGAGCCACCATCCCAAAGAGCAGTGCAGAGGCCGCCTGCTTCCTACGGTTCAGGACTAGATCCTCATCCACCAAGTCAGTCACCACCAGGTTGAGCAACTTACAGGTCCCTTCTGTGAACACCCGGTTGCTGCAGAACAACAGGCAAAGCACTGAATAGGGGCACTGAGACAGACAGGAGTAGGTGAGAGATCAGAGAAAATGGAGAGAGGGTGAGAAGGGTTCCCCCACACTTAAAATAAGAATTTCAGAAGCCCTGGTTACAGGAGGGAACACTGCTAACAGTAAGCCTTGTGTACCCTGTAGCGATGCCTTAGATCAGTCCTGACGTGCCACACGGGCCTGGGGACAGGCCACAGTGGGCCAGTGGCTAACCAGCAGCCGCAGCACATCCTGAGGGCTATCACCCCAGGCAGGCTGCAGTGGAGAGGAGCTCAGCCCAGCAGCTGGGAGGGGCTGCTGCAGTCTGCCACCAGCCCTGCCAGGTCTCTGTCCTCCCAAACATCGCTGCCTCCCTCCCTCTGCTGCAGGCACAGCCAGTGGACTCTGCAGTGACCCATCCCACAGTCAGGTGCTGTCAGAGCTGGGAGCCACATGGCTTCTGTGTGACCCTGGCTACCGTTCCCTGCCTCCCACTCCTCTCTGTAAAACAGAGGCAAGTCATTTCCCCTCCACAGGTGGCGGAGGGCAGGGGAAGCAAGTGCTGCCTGCCTACCTGGCAATGAAGATGCAGAGCAGATACACCTGATCAGGTCCTGCCAGGAGCATGACAACGCTGAGAGCCAGCTTCAGGAAGAAGAGGCCTCGCACCACGGCGTAAACCCCACAGCGGCGGCAGAGGGACAGGAAGTAGAGGTTGTTGAGATGGGGGGCAATGTAGGAAACACCTGAGTAGAGACAGAGGCACAAATAGCTTGAGGGAGTTTCAGTATCCACCATGCCCCCAGGACCGATACCGAGAGAGAACGCGGCTGGTTATCGGACACATAGTCCAGAACACCCCCCACGCACATCCAGAAGGCTGCAGCAGATTTACGCGGGGGCTTTGTGGCACAACACACACTCTTCCTACAGAGGGAGGCCTTCTTCCATCAACCTCATGGGCGGGAAGGAAGAAAAGACTTGGCCAGTCATGCAGGGGCTGAGACTCAGCCCTGGAGCAGAAAGGAGAGGGACAGGACAGCGTGACCAGACCTGGCCTACGCAGAACCCTCCCAGGGTAACTCTAGGACCACTGCCCACAGGTCTCTGGCAGCCTGGAAGTGGTCCATGTGCCAAAGAGAGAAAGGGATTAATTTTAGGGCTGTGTTCCCTGCTGCATCCTGGGGACACAATCTGCAGCCACTAATGCTCAGAGCAATACCTCCGTGGTGTCTGGGCCAGAGTCCAACACATTGGGCTCATCACCACTAGAAAGGGCTCCAAGTTACTTCTGTGCCCAGGAAGGAAGACAGAGGTTTCGGGGAAGCACGTGGGATGTGTGAATCTTACAGCCCAGAGCCCAGCATGTGAGCACAGCTCTCCCCAGATGAGGTTTAGGAAGAACAAACCCAGACTCAGGCCAGTTCCTAACCCAGCTGCTTCCTCCAGTCCCACCTGACACTCACCAAGCAGGAAGGATCCAGTAGAGACAGAGATCTGGTCTGACAGCAGGTGCTCCAGGAACAGAGGGAAGAAGTTGCTGTTAAAGTGGCAGTGAAAAACCTGTGAAGGCAGCATGCAGACAAGCTGGTCAGCAGGAACAGCAGTAAGAGAGAACAGAAAAAACTAACAGCCCTCTGGGCTCTGTTGTCCTAGGAGCCCTGTGCCAAGGGACCGTGCAGGGGGGGCCTGAAGTACTTCAGCAGAGCGAGAGCTTGGCTGTGGAGTTTACAGCACTGTAGGCTTTGAGAGGGCAAAGCTGCAATGCCAGCAGCCATGGCATTGCAGCTTTGGGGTCAGTACTGCTTCCCAGCCGCCGAGGCATTCCTCGCAGGGCACCCGCTCGGCACACAGCGCTGCTGGGGCAGGAAGGGACAGCAGTGCCCACGAGGGTGACAGTGGCCCCGCAGGAGGGAGGAGGCAGCTGTCAGGAGGACAAGGATGAGGCAGCAGTGAGGTTTGAACACAAAGATGCAGAGCAGCATCACAGCCTGCCTGAGGGGGAACCGAGGGATCCCCAGGGATACGGGAGCTGTGACTGCAGCACACAAAGCTGGGCAGGCTGCCGGCGTTTGGTAGTAACCACTGAAGAGGATGAAGAACAGAAATGGCAAAAGCCAGCTGGGAGGTGGATCCAGTTGAACAGTGAAAACAGCGATGTGAGCCTCAGGAAAGCAGAAAGGAGACTGTGCTGACAGCCACGCCAGCAAACTGCACTCCTGAACTCATCCCCACCATGAGCCAGGCCTTGCACATCTCCACCCCAGATGGGCTGCACGGAGCTCAGCCAGCCCCCATAATCCAGCCTATGCTGCAGAGAGGAAAGAGCACCCCACAGCTTGCTCAGGAAGTATCTTCGGGTCACAAGCAGGGAGAGTGGCTATCAGCTGCTCCATCAGCCAGCATGCCCAGGAGGCTCCAAGAGCAAGTGGGTGCTGGAAACACCTCACATACTGCTGAATCACCATCTAAAACAGCCAGAGCCAGCGCTCATCTTCCAAATCACAACATGTCACTGCTGTGCCTACCTGGACAAGGTTCATGCAGACAAACCAGAGGAAGTTGCGATGCCGGGAGAGCTGCTGGAGATACTCTGCCAGGGTGATCCTCTTCTCCTGGGGGACGGAGAGTTTTTCGATGTACAGCCTAAAGGGAGAGGAGGGAAAAAACAAAGGCAACTGTAAATCCCTCACACCAAGCAGGGGAGATGCAGAGCTGTCTCTCCTCAGCTCCCATCCCAACCTTCCCTCTCCCTGGACAAAATCAAAACAGTAGAGTCTACAATCACGTTTGCTTATTGCTAGCAAGAGTGACAGGCAACAGGTCTCCCAAAGAACATTTGTCTTCTGAACCCAAAACTTGGACTTCTGTCCATAAAAGCATTCTCTTATGAGCCATTCCACTACACATACACTCCTCTTCCAGATCCCTACGGTTAGCTCACCTGGCAGATCTCAGGATCTGCTGTGTTAGTACAGCATAATGCTGGCAGCTCACAACAAGAGACGAGTGAGGCAGCCCAAGGAAAAGCAAGGGAGCTGAACAGGGAAAACCAGCTGCATCAAAAAAAAACAACAGCCCAGCCACTATCAGGTAGCTAAAGCGAGCAAACAGGTTAAGAGACATTCGCTTGTCCAACTCCACAGGAAATGGGCAGCAAGGTGGTCTCATGCTCAAGCAGGAATGCTTTCATGATAAGCTGATTCTGACATTTTGCCACTCACAGGCCTCACTGGGTGCTCTAGATATTAACTCATTTCATGTTCCAAACACTGGATGGCCATACAGCAGGTCAGGGCTCTGCCTCCAGTTTGGGCCAGGGGTGTCACGAGATAGTTTTGTCCTATTTTCAGAGGGCATTAGGAGCCAGTGTGACACAGGTGATTCTGAAAACTGTATCAACAAACAAGAACCATAAATGATTAACAAAAATTTGCCTCATCCTGCATCTTCCCACACATTTAGTTTGCTGCAGTGCATAAAAGGACTCTACAGATCTATGCCAGGCCTTTGTCCCTGCCACAGAATTGGTGACACTTACTCTTTTAGGGTTGATTCTTGGTCCCATTTTGCTTTCCCATCAGCCTCAAACCGCTGGCGAAGCAGCTGTGTGGACAGCGTAAAACCAATGATGGAGCAGAGAGCCAGTACGACGCAAAATATGCGAAAGGAAAAGAAGTCCTCTTTGTTCCACACTGCATAGGACATGAAGACAGAGAGGGAGCCTACGGCACTGAAGAGGGAGCAGTAGAAGTTGAGGCTAGTCCTGTCTTTTGCTGAGACAGCCAGGTCTGCGAGCAAGGCATTGTGGTGGAGGTCGACCATGGTGAGAAAGCTGTCGTACATGCAAAGGCAAAGAAGGAACTGCAAACCAGGATGAGCCCAGGCAACCCAGAAAGCCAGAAATGAGATGGCAAAGAGGGGGCCATTGTGGCTTAGAGCTTTGAGCCTCTTCAGAACTACTTCTGGGGAAGAAATCTCTGCTCCTGGCCTGCAAGAAAAAATACAAAAACTTTAGACACCTGGACAAAACCCTGATGACCACGTATTCTCCAAGGAAGTTGTGCAAGTGGCATAGACACAAATACAGCTTTTGTTCACGTGACAAGCACCCACATCAAATACATTCTCAGTTAATATGTAACTACACCAAAAATATGGGTTTAAGAAGGCCAAAAAGCATGAATGGATTTTTAATCTCCAGAGCAAGTCTCTCCCTGCTTGTGCTGCGTTGTCTGCTTTGCACAATGTAAATTATTTCAACGATCACTTTAAAAGTTTTCACTAGGTACAAGAAGTCACACCATGATTTTCATTAAAAGCTGGGCATAAATACTTGAGAAATGCTAATGGCCAACAGTGATCCATGATCCAGGGAGTTTGGGAACAACTGGTCTGAGGCATTCCAGATAGAATTAATTGCCCTTTCCCTACCCTGTGTCTCCCAAAACACAGACACTCTCCACCACCCCGCTAAGAGGCTGGATATTTTAGATGCCCATATTTTAGCTTCTGTACCATTCATGCAATTGTTAAGGGCTAGGGTCACAGCTACTCAGCGGATGTGTGATTTCCTCTATACAGTCAGGTACTGAATCATAGACTCATTTAGGCTGGAAAAGACCCTTAAGATCATCAAGTCCAACCATTAACCTAGCACTGCCAAGTCCACCACTAAATCATGTCCTTAAGTGCCATACCTATATGTCTTTTAAATACCTCCAGGGATGGTGACTCAACCACTTCTCTAGGCAGCCTGTTCCAATGCTTGACAACCCTTTTGCTGTAGAAATTTCTCCTAATATCCAATCTAAACCTCCCCTGGTCCAACTTGAGACCATTTCCTCTTGCCCTATCACATATTAGTTGAGACCCTGACACCCACCTCACTACAACCTCCTCTCAGGTAGTTGTAGAGAACAATAAGGTCTCCCCCGAGCTGCCTTTTCTCCAGGCTAAACAGCCCCAGTTCCCTCAGCTACTCCCCATAAAAATCTGTGCTCTAGACCCTTCACCAGCTTCATTGCCTCCAATATGAAATAACATGCAAAGAGCACTGAACTTCTAAGATGCCAGGAAAAGCCATTAAAGAGTTCCACGCTCCTGTAAGCATTCCCACGCCATCATTTTAAAGCTGCCAATTTTATATAATTTCCCCCAGAGACTAAACAACTTCCCAGCCTCTGCTGGAAGGGGAACTTAACTTACTGTTGTGTGCTAAGGAACACCCGGTCGCTCAGCCAGCCAAACAGAGGGTCATTGAGGCTGTTCCAGATCAGAAACACTGTCTAGAGAAGAAAACAGGGCAGTGAAACAAACCACAGGACAGCTCCTGCAAAGACTCAGTTCTGTTACTGAAACAGTGTTGAGCTGGCATGCTGAACAACCAGCAGGAACCATCCCAGTGCACCTTCCCTGCCCCACCACCGCTGCGCGATTCCCCTGTCAGGGACAGCTGCCAGATTAACTCAGCAAAGGCCAGTGGTTTTCCCTGCTTGTGAAACACCTTGATGTGCCCAGAGGAAAGGCTGTCTTAAGAACAAAGTCTCTGGGTTTTCCAGGCCAGCTTGTTCTCTTTTCATGTAAGTGGGGAAACTGAAAAGCCCAAGTTAGCACTTGGAAGGCTCCCTTGCTCCCTCTCCAAAGGGGAATGCTACTATTACAACTAACACTGTTCACACTTCTAGCAAGGAGCAGTCGTGGTTTCAGAATTTTTGACTTAAGAGGGAGAAGACTAACCTCTCCTATCCAGAAGGACAGCTTATCAATCTTGTAAACGGAGACAAAGGTGTCCACGTAGTACAGGAGGAACACGTTGTGCAAAATGGAAACAAACAGTGACAGGGACCCGTAGATCACTGCAGTGGGCAAATGAAAAAGACAAGCCAACAGTCGCAACCCCATGTTGGTGCAGTCAGCGTTCAGCTCCCTCGATCACCTCCATTTCAGATGGGATGTCTTCTCCCAACACCTGCTGCATCTTTGTTGGGGCCAATCCATTGTTGCTCCTGCAGGAGAGAAGAAAAAAAAAAAGAAACCAGGCTCAATTTCTTAAATGAACTAAAAATTGAATCAAATTAATTGGTAAATGTTTGCCAGCAGAGATCAGAATTCATATCGCTTTGAGACACTGTTCAAAAGTGGATTGGATGGGATTTAAGAGACTAAAAACTGCCTGCTGCACTAAAGCTGTTTCACTAAGCCAAGGCCAGGCTGAGGGCTCCCAGGGGTACAACTGCCTCCTCATGAGCAGGCTGCCCCATCCTTTACCCTGTAACGTTCTTTGTTATCCAGCAAGTAGTCGATTAGCTCTTTCCAACTCTTTAAAGGCAAGGTCACAGGAGGAATCGAGCTAGATAGCTGCAAACAACAAAGCAGCCTTCAAAATCACACTGCCATTTTTAGGTACTGGTGTAAATTTTTAGCCAAATAAAAATGACAACAGCTGTGATGTAATCTCACACATGCACACTGCTTTCCCCAGGCAGTCACAGCTGACTGCACCTGGGCTGGCTCAGACAGGAGTTATTTATGGCAAGCAGTGCTGCTGCTTTGTGTCGTGAAGAGACATGGCCAGAACACAACAGCATGCAGCAGACATGCTGCCATCATGCAATAAAGGCAACCAGAAGTCACTTAACAGCTGTCCAGCTCATCTTGGAGTGGCCTAAATTTTAGGATCGATGTCTGAAATAAAGACGCTTTGACCAGACAGTAATATATACAAAAATAAAACAAGTGGAAACAGCAGCCTTATACCAGAAGTCACTGTATATCCACAAGGGGCTGAGGACTCCTCACACCAGCACTGACTGGAGCTCAGGGCCAGGAGGTGGGACCATCATCCTCCCATGATACAGTCTTGTGATTTTCAGACTGAGGCCCCTCTCACACTCAAGTTGATACAGACCAAAGGCAAAACACAAGGCACCTCTTCAGAGGCACTTGTGTATCCGGCAAGATGCTAAGAGTCCTTAAATCAGTGTAAGTCAGCTCCTTCAGCCCCTGCCATCATAAGAAGCCCTGTTCACAGCATATGCATGATGGGTGATAACAAGGTCTCTATCTTAACACTGTCAAAAGCAAGATAAAGCGCTGGAAGTCCCTCCTGTTCCAGCCCTCCCAGGTCCGCACTCACCCAACTCAGACACATCATGGTGACTTCTCAATGCAGAATAAGAATGAGCACATCAGAAATGGAAAACTACGTGCCAAGCCAACCTTCTGGCTTGCAACATCCGCTGCAGCAAGTCCAAGCAGAAGATCAAGGGGAAGAATAAACGGCTGGTTATGAAACCTGATGAAACACCAGTCCCATTCAGCATTTCCCAGAAGCCATGAGTCTGACCACTTTTAGGCAAGATTAGAAAAGCAAAAATAACCACCCGCTCTGCGTAGCCCAAGGAATTCCTTGCAACTAGTTCAGAAGAAGCAGGAACAGCATTTGTTCCAATCAATTACATCACTAGATTGAAACTGCACATCAGCTCCACTCCCAGCCAAAGCACCAGACCTCAACTGGATCCAACTGCAGAGCCCTGTGGCGCTGAGCCACCGTTCTGCATCCCCACCATGCCAAAACCCAAGGCCAGATAAAAGGAAGACACTGCTTGGAGGGGAATTCAGCCAGACAATGAACTTTTATAGGTGTAATTAAAGACAGACAAGCCTCAAGGGGAAATTGCGTTTTGTACGGTCATGAATTGAAAAGGAATCAAGAATTTGTGATGTGTAAAGATAAAGGTTAAGGAGAATAAAGAGCTAAGCCAACTAACCTAGGATGAATCCCTTGTCTCTCACATAGAACCTGCTGCAGAGGACTGGCTCAAGGGCAGATGAAGCCACCAGGGTGCTAGGCACCATCATGAACGGGATAGAGAACAAGCAGACAGCATCATTTTGCACCGTATGAAACATCGGTGTATCTAGACCTTGACCACTGTGTGCACATTTAACCTCACTACAAACTTCCTGAGACACAGAGATGAGGGAGATGAAAGGAAGGTAACTGAAGCAATCAAGGGACTGAGGCAGCTGCCTGCTGAGGAAAGACTACACAGCTGGAACTCTTCAGGCAGAGAGGAAAGGCTGAAGGGGGACATGATCAAGTTTTACAGTTCCATGTGCAGTGGGTAAGGTGAAGATGGAACTGTTGCGTGCCAGGACACAAGAACTGGGAGCACTCACAGTACCCAGCAGGAAATCAGTTTAAAGCACACAAAAATACTAATTTACCTGGCAGGTAGCAAACATCTGACATTTGCTGCCAAAGGAGGTTACAGAGGTGGGCAACAGGTTCAAATGATTAGATAAATTAATGGAAAACAGCTGTACTCAAACAGCTTCTAAAGGGAACAGGCAGGGAAATCCCTTCTAGTATCCCTAATCCAAAGGTTGCACAAACTAGGGGTGGACAAGTGGAAGAGCCACAGACAGTGGCCAGGCTCATGTGCTCTCCCCCCAAACAGCATCTCCCCCTGCTGCCGTGCAGCAGAATATGGGGCGAGACAGACCAGCGGTCTGACTGCTAGGGCAACTCTTAACCTGGACTTAACTTTGCTACCCAAAGCCTGTTTGAAAGCAAAGCCTCCTCAAGGCTTGTTCCTTAGTGCTGAACTTTATGTGTACCCATCCAAACAGTGCTTCACTGAGCTCACGTTGCACAAACCACAGCTGCTGAAGTTTCCAAAGACACCTCATTTTGTCATTTATACGCTACAGTGCTGTTTAAAGAAGGTGAAGTTCCACTTCCTCTCCTTCTCCCTCATTGCTCCCTCACAGATGTGCAACCCGTTCAGCCAGCTGACATTTGTGACTTCACTTAGCTCGGATAGTTGTTGGGTCATTTTATATATATACAATTTTTCCCCCTCCCCATCTGCAAACGTACAGATAAAAAGAAACAAATCATGGTTGTCAGTAAAAAGTAGATTTTGCTTCTACATCCAAAGCACTGTGTTATTTAAGTTTGCCACACTGGTATTTTCATAACCTTTTCCTTGGGATGAAGAATTACTCATGGAGTATGTCAGAACTTTTCAATGTTAGGCTTTAAGTAGTAATGGGAAAAGGAGCTGCAGGAGGGAATAGTTATCATTCATTCACGCTGAACTTCAAATGCACAGTCATAAAGCAACAAGGTCATAAATTAGAAAGCAACTAGCCTTTATTTCAGAAACTTCCACCTCCGCATCTGACATCTGGCATCACTCCTGCCAGTGACGTTTGCAGATCTTATCTTTTGAGGAGGATGTTTGAATACTGGCTACCAGGAAAGCACTGCTTTTGTTTGAGTGCTGGCGTACAAATGGCTGGAAACACACCACAGAATTTGGGGCTTGCACATCTGTCACAACTTCCTAGCCAGCTCACAGCTGGATTCATGAGTCATTGTGTCCCATGGTGATTCAGCAACACTTTGGCCTACAATAAGACTGAGCTCCAGCCTTCCACAGCTGAAGCCAGTTGTACTGAGTTGGCAACAGAGCCATATGCATGAATCTTGGCCCAAGCCAGTCTTCTAAGCAGGGCCAGATGATTCCTATATGCCAAAGGTGCCACTCAGGAACCTGAAATAGTCATCTGCAGACCTGACTGCCGTAACAGGATGACTCTCCCATTCACTCTCCACCATGTGGGTAATGCAGGCTGGAATATCCCAAATAATGCTACAGGATATGCCTGTGCTTGCTCCTGCCGTCACTACGCTGTCTTTGCTGCATATTCTGGATTTTGGGTGGCTTACTAGCTAAAGTAGAGGGCCAGACAAATATACCAGCTCAGTGCCTCTGCATCCACTACACAATAAATTCACCACCCTGATAAGCCACTCAAGAGGGGACACTATTACTAGAGACTCATCACAGCCAGATAAGATCGGGCTGCTGGAAACCCAGCCCCATTCACAGGGAAGCTGGGCTGGAGCTGCACCCACAAAACAGCTGCTGCCCTGTGCCCCATCCCAGCATAGCACTTGGTGCTGGGCACATAAACTCCTCCTGGACCCTGTAAGTGACAGTCTCAGCCAGAAGAAACACAGTCATGGATGTCTTCATCTGGTCATGCTTATCCATCAGTGACAAGTCCGCTTTGTAAGCGCAGACCAGGTTCTGCACGCTCCTTCACACCCTGCGCGCGATACTCCAGGAGGCCTCTGAAGCACAGACACCTCAGAGGGTACTCACCCCATGGAGCTGCTTAGATTCTGGCAAGACTCTGTTCAGTAAGAAAGGAAATCCCTCCACAGAGCTATTTCACTGAATGAATCTGAAAGAGCCTCCACTTAAACAACAACAACAACAACAACAAAAAATCTCAAAATACTTTTCCAGGAAATCTCCTGCCTACAAAAACACTCCACAAAATTTAGGCTCCTCTGACCAGACTTTGATCCTGTGCACCCTCTTAGAGATTAATATATCCCCAAAACTCTCAGTTTCCCCACCATACTACTTCTAAAGTCCTAGTGCCATGTTTCCTCAGAGAATCCACGTGCTAACAGAGCACCTTGAGGGAACACCAAACAAACACAGGCCAACATGAAACATTAATAAACTCCCCAACAGCAGACTCCCAGCAGCCTAGTATCTGAACAGTAAAGCAATGAAGCCTCTGAAAACCTGGTACCACCTGGATCAGGCAAGGAAACATGCCACTTCAAAGATGCCATGAGGACTTTTCCCAGTAGTGTTTACCAATTCAACAAGCGCAGATGCCTTGTTATCATGAGAGGTTTGGTAACTCCCTTCTTATTACAGGCAATCATGTGCTTCCATCAGGTGCTTCCGTCACTCCTGCTGAGTTCATACACATAAACAGAACTGCCACACAGATGACAATTAACATCTTGAACCAGCTGGTAGTTTCTGTGGAGCTATGCTCCAGCAGAGCAATCTCATTAAATCAGATCTCATTCACTAATGAGATTATGAGGTTCATTAATAGAAGTAGCCAGGTAGATCTCCTAGTATTAGAACTCGGTAAGGCTTAACTTATCAGCACTCTGCATCCCTTTTCTAAACAGTTCATTGTTTTTCAGTGTAAGAAAAATGTATTACACAGATTAAGAAGGGGTTCCCCATGATGTTATCACCAGCATAAATGCTAATCCTGTAGTGGACTTCCACAGCACTCATATGGAGACCATTGCCAGGTAATTCTGGCCTCAAATTACAGATTTAGAAGTACGAAACCCCTACTAAAAACAACCCCCAAAGGTGGAATCAAAGAAGGTAGAGGGGATTATTGCACAGATAGAGCCTATTCTTGTAGAGACTTAATAGGAAGCACCAGGCCAGAAGCACTTTTTACCGCTCTGCCCAAGCGCAGCAATCAGGAGTTTCTGCTACGCATCTCCATCTTCTCACCGGGGAGATTTTTCACCCATGCAAACCCTTCAAAGCCACAGTCCCCCCCCAACGCCTCAGATTCAGCTACAAGGCCACATGTCACTAACCAAAGGCTGAAGGAAGCCCAGCCACCGAGGCCACCAGTGATCTCTGTAGCATTTAGGCCTGAAAAACACGGCACTAGGTCACCACCTAAAGCAGCCGACATCCCACTTGTAGGAAAGGAATACAGGGAGCCAGGAAATGCCGGCAAATCGAGGCCAGGTATGGGGATGCCATTTCTTGGGCCACCAAGAGGACAAGCCCAAGCAGTGGTGCCACTCCCGGCGCTCCATCCACTGGGTCCCATCCTAGCAGCCCCAGTCGAGGAAGGGGTGGCCAGGCAGGAGCGCAGCCATCACTTCGTGGTGGGGTCCCACTCCAGCTCCACGGTGGTGGAGGGCCCGTTTGGGGCTGTGCTGCCAGGTGAGGGGAAGGTGACAGGGACATGGCAGCCAGATCCTCACTCCGCACCTCCAGGTAGGGTAGACGCCCCCCACTGCCAACCCCGCGGCAAGGGACGGGGCAAGGCCAAGACCGCCTCTCCTTACGAGGGGGTGGGAACCAGACCCCAACCGGCTCCAGAACGGGGGACAGACGGACTGAGGCCCCCGCCTACGGACACTGACAGCAGAGAGACAGGGCACCCCCCAGGCCCACGTGGGACCGTCCAGAGTAACGAGGGGGGGAGGCACACTCCAGGGCTTTACCAATGCAGGGAGGGAGGGAGTCCCCACCCCGCACGGGCAGCCCCACTGCGTGGATGGGGGTCTCCCCCCATCCCACCCGGACAGCCCCGCTGCAGGCGGGGAGCCCGGCGTTCGGGTGGGGGAGGCACCGCGCCGCAGCCCCCCCCCCCCCCCCCGCAGCCATCCCCCCAGCGCCTCCTACCTGCGTCCGTTACCGGCGCTGCCCCCGCCGTTCCGCCGCCGGACCGCACGGCTGCGCATGCGCACCTAGCGCCCCGCCCCACGGCCGGCTCCGGCCCGAAACCATCTTGTGTCCTGGCAAGTGAAGCCACCCCCTCCCGGCCGCCATCTCGTGTGAGGTCACCTCCCCGGAGCAGGAGCCGCAGCAGGGACAGGCTCCCCTGGGGCCTTTCTAGCCGGAGAGGGCTGGCTCCTCTATGATCCATCCGTCTCGCAGGGCGTCTGTCACCATGGAAACATGGCCGGGTCGGAGAGATCCAGCGGCGCAAACGCTGCGAACGGCTCCTCGGCCGGGCAGGAGCCCTGCCACCAACGCCAAGTTGGGCAGTGAAGGCTCCCCTGGGGCCTTCTACCCCTTTCCTCGGCGTCGTGGGGCTGGAGAACAAACAGGGCTGGTAACCACCAGATGCCTCCTGGTGAAGCCAGCTGGACTTGTGGTGCCTTCTCACCTTAAACACCTCAAACTGCCCCAAAGGAGCGTTGTGCCAAGCTGCAAAATGACAAAGTGGAAACAAAACAATGAACATGGCTGCTCAAGGGGCAGGTGTAGCCATCCCTGTAATCCAGCAAATGCCCTACTTGTCTTTGGTCTTAGTCATCAGCTACTTATGCTTCTCTCCCAAGGTTCACTTACATGATGTCCCATATACTTAAGAATATAGAGACCATCCTTGTCCTTTATTATTTAAGATATCTCTTTGGAGCTTTCAAAGAAGCAACTCCCCATTTTCAGCATATGCACCACCTTCCACTTCTGACCACAACAGTCGCTCCCATCCAGCTATTCACAAATTTCACCAGGGAAAATTGACGCAAAAGCCAGTTACTGTGTGCTGAAAAATATCATCACATCCTATTACTTCCCAACTGTTTTTGTGTATCAGGCTTACTAGCAGCTTCCTAAACAGGTAATTTTTATAAATTCGTAAAAAATGGGCAATTAATTGCAGTCAACAGGTTTTATAATTAGCAATCTGTAGATACTTAGCTTCAGCTATTGAGATCACTTCCAGAACAAGGCATTAAGCGCCCTTAAAGAGCGTGCTTTGCTGCAGCAGTTGTGCTGAGCAATGATGAGCTGACCTTGCAGACCCAGTCATCCTTTTTAAACCTGTGTGGGGATTTGTATCTGTAAAGGCCCACGACAGTGCAGGTGCTTACAATAAGGTAGTGCTGATGGGAGCCATTTGTATGGCTTCTTACTTAATTACAACCTACTGAATGAGAACTGAGTACAAATACTAGCTTAGCTGTCTGTATCTGAGTAGGAGTAAACAGCTTAGGGGGCTAGAACAATGAAAAATTAAGGTTCATTTCTAAAGTACTTAGTGGTGGGCTCTATTCCATGCTATTTAATCTGTTACTTTAAAATTCACAGTTTTTTGAGTGTTGCTAATAGCATTTTTTCTGCTTTGAGAAGCAACCTGAAGTTTTGGTGAGTGCTTTTGAGGTTTTCTATGTTGACATTATGTGCTGGCTTTAACTGTTCCTTTATCGTTGTCCTTGCTTTGCCTGAGTTCTTATGCTCAAGTTCAATGTGTTGTTTTTTTCCTGTAAGGCATCTCACTAGTTAAGACACATACCTTGCATTAGCTTTAGTAGCCTTGTCTATAGGAAGCTAGGCTTAAAGCTCCCTGTCTGAGCATGTAATATAATTGCTGAAGGAATGAGCTTCCTGTTGCTTTCCTTAACTACAAGGGCATGTTCGGACAGGTATTGCAGCCCTGGTTGCTATAGGAAAGCTTCTGTAAGGTGTGATGTGGTATCTTAGTGTATCTCCTGGCTCTGTATGTGCCATTAAAGGCACATCAGTGAAAAGAGACTGTAGAAAGCAAGCTGCCTTCTTAAGATCAGATTGTATATCCTACTGTTTCTTGCTCCTCAGTTAAGTGGAGGCATCATCTTGGCTGGTCTTTCTCAGGATGTAAGTACATACACACCAAACAAATGTCTGTCTCTGTTTTTTTTTTGTATTTATGACTGGAGATGGGTCTATGATCCAGTGTTTTACCAGTTACAATGGCAAAACAGTACTAATGCAAGATAAACGTTTGTAGTAGTAGCAACGTACAACTGAGGTGTTCTGCAGTTTGCCTGGCTTTTTGAAAACACAAATGCTTAAATCCCTCTGGAGGTGATGTCTCTTTCACCTCAGCACATCTGCTGTTTTATCTAGTAGATGCAAGTTTATGTATAGTAGCATAACTTGGTTGGGGCATTGATTCATGCCAGTGCTCTAGCCTGTAACTTTCCTAGCATCTCCTGCTTGTGAAAGATACTAATGTAAATTGTTATTGTTATGTGGTGATAGGCTTTAAACACTTTAGCCTAGAAAAAAAAAGACATAGAAGGACTTCTCTGAGTGATTGTATTCTTGGAAACACAAGATTGCCTTTTGAGTCCCATTAAAAAATCAATGTTATTTGTGAGCTATGTTCTGAATTGTCTAAAGACCATAACAGAAGGTAGTTGGATTTTTTTTTTCTTTTAATGTATTACAAAGTCATAGATCAGCAGATGCTGCAGCTGTTTGCCTTGGGGGATGCAATAAGAGCACTATTCCCATGAGTAATTCTAGCTCAGATGTTTGAACTTAAGCTAGAAGTGCAGTGTGTGTTGCTGTTGTAACAAAAGGCATTTTTATACACTGAAGGGATGATACCTAATACGACCCCAAAGTCTGGATAATTTGTTTTCTGTCCTGTCCCACTACTTGGGGTGTTGCTTCCCTGGGAAGATCTAGTACAAGTGCATAAGAAGTTAAGCCTTCCTCACTTCTAAAAGTACATCTTCGATGTAGGGTGCACAGGAATGGGATCCAAGTGTATTTAAAACTTAAGTAGTTAAAGTGCAAATGGTTTGTTGTGACATTGGATGCTAGTGTGTGTCAACAGAAGAAACCCACTGTGAGCATTAGGTCCCTCTGGAGAAGCAGGCTGTGTAACCAGCTAAGGCCTTTGCAAGGACACCAAGAGACTCTCCCAAGAACACTTCAAGGGCAAAGACTTGTAATCAAGCAGCTGAGAGCAGGATGCTGTGAAAGCACAAAAACAGAGTGCAAAACATGTTGCTCTGCTATGCAAACTGTCTGTCTGCGAGATAAAGTGCTTGTAGGTAGCTGGAGCTAGGTAGAGGAATCAAGGCTAAAGTTGAATGATTTGTCTTGGAGTGTGTAAAGTAAATAATATATAATCAGGAGGAACCAGATAATTATAGGGGTGTCTGAAGCAACTCTTGCAGGGTAGAACCTTGCAAGGCCACCTGCACTGTATCAGTAATACTATGTAAGGCTGAGATTGCCAGGCTAACAATATGGGAAATGCCAGACTTAGTTATGGATGTAGCAAAACCAAGACCAATGGGGAAGAAGTAATTAGGGGTGGATTGTCTGTTTGGGAGGAGTCTAGGGGAAGGGAGGCATGAGCATGGGAAAAGTGGATCCTGAAATGAGAGAACAAGGTATGAAATTAGATGAAAGAATGAAGGTGGGATCAGCTGACTGTAGGAGTGCAGACATCTATGGATGGTAGTGAAACCTGAGGATTCAAACTCACTGGGATGCTGGAGTGATGCTCCTTGAACAGCCTGCTGGACTCTCTCTCCATCAGGTCTATGCTGGAAAGACTTGGAGTGGGAGGGCAGAGCAAACAGGGATAGACTTGCATCCTAGTACTAAGTGGTGTGGGAGGGAAAGGTGACACACGTGCAACTCAGTAGCAGTCGTGTGTGGTTCATAAGGCTTGATCAGTAGCTTCATAGTCGTGTGCAAAATGATATAAATAACCATGAGCTACTAGAGGTGTGTTAATGAGGTTATTGATTGTTCAGTTGACTTATTGGTGTGTTTGATTGATAAAAGTTAGTGTCCTGAGTTGGTTGTCTCAAGACTGCAATCTGAAGGCGGGGGACAGCTGGGCACTGAAATGACAGCTGGGGTCTTGTCCAGGATCTCCCAGTTTGGAAGCCTGAGCTGACTGAGACAGATCTTTGAAGGAGTGAGTGTGTGGATGGAGATGATGGATATCAGATGAACTCTTGAGTGAGAGGAGGAGGGGGTCTGTTTGTGCAGGCTATGTTTGAACATGGAGGGGATCCTTGGGACTGAACACTAGAAAGTGCAGATTAAAATATGCATGATTAAAGAAAAGAGTAGTGCCGAGATACCATGCTGTCTCTGGGAAAGTTTAGATCAGAAAAAGGTGGTGGCTTTTGGTAGGGCAGACTGGGATCCTGAAACATGGGGCAGAGGGATTTGAACCTCAGGCGATGAAGACGTGATGCAAAGGGTGGCTGCAGTGGTTGCTAGAGAGATGAGACTAGTGGTGGTGGGAGCTTTAATAACACAAGCTATGCCACGGGGAAAGGAAGACGTGACAAGAAAGGAGAAAGCTTGGAGGAAAAAATGAGGGATGGTGTGTGTGTGTGTCTAAAATCTAGATGTTGGTGCATCAGACATTTCTACCCAGGGAGAAGCTGGAGGGGTGACAGTGTCACAACTGCCTTGGTAGCAGGCAGGGGTGGTTTCCAGAGTCTTGCCTGCTGATGCAGTGACCCTGTGGTAACACTCATCATGTTTTATTCTTGGCTGTGCAGCTGTTTCAGACCTGCTGTTATCCAACAGCTGCAGCAAGAGTAGAAGGAGGGGCTGCTCCAAACCTCTCCTCATCAGCAGTGACTTGCATTTGGACCGCTATTTGAGCTGAGTTATGCAAGGCAGTGGTTTTTAGATCATCCCAGTCGAGTAAAGACTTGCTCTGTGATGATTAGGGCTTTTCCTGGTGTTTTGACCTCATACAGAGTCTGGGTTTTGCACAGACCTCAGAAATAAATGCCAGACTCATATTAGATTTCAGTGCTTTCTGGGAATGCTGCTTTGAATAGCTGAAACGGATCTATTCCCCCTTCAAAGGGCCTATAAAAGTGGTGACTGACTGTAATATGCCTTAACTGCTATTTCCGCAGTTACCAGTGCCAGTTGGAGCTCTTTCCTTTATGGTGTGCTAGTAACAGCAGGGTG